ATGGCAAGAACAACCCAGAAGCCATTTTGAGGGGGTGTCTTCATCTATGTATCTAAATACATAGATGGTGTAAATCTGCATTAAATTCGTTACAGGGATGTTGGATAGTATAATGGTTAGTGTTAGTTGTCAAGGTGACAGGATCTGGAATCACTTAGGAGGCAAGCTTCTGAGCACATCTGTGAGGAGTTATTTTGATTGAGTTAGTCCCTGGGCATGCCTGTGAGGGATTATCTTGATTAGGTTAAATGATGTGGGAAGATCCACATAAAAAAAAAGGTGTCATCATTCCCAGGGATTGGTTCCTGGACTGTATAAAAGGGAGGAAGCTATCTGAGAAAGAGCATGCATCACTCTCCTCTTTCTGACTATGGATGCCATGTGACCGGGGCTTTAAGCTCTGGACACCTGGACTTAACTGTGATGGTGGACTCTATCCCCGCACTGTGAGCCAAAATAAATGAACAGTTTCTTCCATAAGTTGCTTTTGTCATAGTATTTTTTTTTTCACAACAGGAAAAGTAACTTATACAGACAGTGAGGTGATCAGAGGAGAGCTGGGGTGGGGCAGATTCTTCTAGAGATAATAATTGGCTATGTATTACTTCATATTCTCTACCTTTTAATTAAAAAGAAAAACATTTTTTCTCAGATGTTCTATATCATAGCTTCCCTAGAACCTAAACTCCTTAGCATCAAGAACTGGGATAGTTATTTAGCAGGTGTTTCAAAAGGCAAAGGCAAATTATTTTCTCTAAGAAGGTTGAGTAAATGACTACTGACTGACTAATAAGTTTGGCTCTGAGCTGGAAAGGGGAAATGGGGTTATTCGAAATGGGGTTATTCGAAGACCAGAAACACACTGAAGGAAAGAAGCAGTGTAGCTATTAAAAGCCAAGAGCATTTCTGACTCCCGGATTTGTATCTTTTAGAATATTCCATCATGTTTTATTTAGGTACAGCTATTAGCTCAAAGATGGCAGTCACTTTGCATTAATGGTATCATCTCATGGGAAATAGAAACATCACAATTTTCAAAATCAAAGTATTCAATGAAGAAACAATCCATCATGTCATCTTGGAGTCAACTGACCTTTTGTCAACTCACTGCTAAGACAGAAGGAGAAATCCAGGATATGAATTCGAAAAAGTAAGTAACCACAGTGAGAGTCTATTGATCATAGTAGGTTCTTTAAGAAGAAACATGCACATCTTAATAAACTGAAACTCAACATGTCAAAACCTCCATTAAGCAATGTTTAAAGAAGGCAAGAAAGAAATGAAGGCCAAACATGTTCTGTCCTAGGGTGAATAAAGTACAAAACATGTTTCACTGCTTACTATGGAATGGATGTCTGACTGCTACCAAAACATTAGCATAATCAAATGGAAACAAATTAATTGTGAGTTGAGAATAGAAATCATTTTTGAACATTTGTATAAATTATTTTCTACATAGAAATTTCAAATATTTTGATGCCATTTCACAAATCAAACACACTGTGCCTTCAAAAACCTTATTGACAACCACAATGAAGCACACTTAATTATTCCTGGTAATACAGCTGATTAATGAACAACATGAGGCTCCGTTTGCTCCTTTGGAACATTTTTAGGTAGAAAAGTAGGGCAAACAACAATGACATTTGTTTTTCCCAGTAGAAGAAAAAAACTTGCTAACAACTCGCAAAGCGGGAGAGCACGAGATAAAATAAAAACTTGCAACACTGCTGGGAATTAAAACTTGGAGGTTTTGATTTTTCAATTGTATATACTTTATTTTTTTTAGATTTTATTTTACTTTTTTATTTTTTGAAATTACATTGTTTCCCCCTTTCCCTTTCCTCTCTCAAACTCCTTCCTTATACGTCAGTAAAGAACTACAGGCAACTAAGGACTGTTGAGAGAGGGTGAATTAGTCTTTCCCAGGGATGAGCCGCCTAACTTCTTATCTAATTCTAAGTAGTCAGTGCTGAAATCATACACATACAAGCAACACTGGATGACCTAAGCAGGTTGTATAAAAATATCTATGCATTTATATAGATGCATATAATTTACTTTCAAGATATTATCTTAAAACGTTAAAAATGTGCAGAGATATTAAATTCAAATCTATTTGACATCCACAAAAACGTCAAGAGAAACAATGTTATCACAGCCTTATGTGAGGTGAGGGAAGACTTCTCACTATCCCAGGAGAAGAACTTTTAAATGATGGCACACCTACATTATCCAAGATGATTCAGTGGCTAAAAGTGCTGTTGATTTAGATGTCCCAACATTATAGAGACTTCCAGGGTTGGCTATTCACACTGACTCAAGAGGTTTCTCTGCTGGGGTCTCCCTTTGTAAACTTTGTATACTTTGCAGGAAAGTATCTGGGCCCCTGCTGAGGAGCTCCAGCAGTCAGGAAGGTGCTTCAAGTTTTGCTTCTGGGATCTCCCTACACCTTTCCCAGGACACCCCTTCTTCAGTTCTTCATTTCCTCTGGGTGCCACCCTCTGTGGTCCCTGAAAGGGGTGCTTGGACCATCAGACTGTGCTGCTGGCCTCTTCACACCTCCAGACAGCAACACCTCAGGACTCCTGAGCAGCTGAGGCTGAATCTCTGCAGCCCTGGGACCCGATACTAGACCCCTGGAGAAACAGAGAAGCTGAAGCCACAGAGAAAGCAGCAGCACCTGAGGCCTCAGTTATGGCTGCTGCTGACAGGGAACTCAGGGAGAGGGACCAGTACCCAACTGGAGCTACTGCGTGCCATCGCTGTGGTAACGAGGTAAAACATTCCTCTGAGGCAGGGAGCTTTACATGGTCTGACACTGCCAGCCAGGGAGGAGGACCAGGAATCTGGCCCCTCAGTATAAGTTCACAGTTAGTTAAGGAAAGTTAGTTGTTTTGTTTAGCTCAGGGTTCAAGTCTGTGGCCCCTCCCCCATACCTCTCTGACTGCCATAATGACGTTTCCAGCTTCCATAACTGTCACAAAGGCCCACTCCAGACCCTCAAAAGATTCCAGATTATGTTAATTTTAGGTGAAAAGTCTCAACAAAAAGCCACCAATCCCAGAGCAGGAAACCTGCCAATCCCTAAAATTCCCCCCTCCCCCAAACTCAGTACTTGAAATCCCACCAATCCTCACGCTGGGAATCTCTGCCCTAGAACGCTCCAGCCCATAAGAAATGCTCTATAAAGGCTGTGTCTGCTCAGTTCTCTGCTGCTCTCCCTGGAGCAGAGACAGCCACTGTTGCGTTCATCCCTCTACTCCCTGGACCCTCCTATAAATCTCTTCTATGAGCTTCGCTGCCTGGTGTGAGTCATTGGAAGGAGCCAAGAAGCAACCAAAAGAAGAAGGGAAGAATGGAGCAGGGCTGGGGCGCCCGAGCTCCTCAGCTCATCTGGGGATACCTTCCCGTGGGAGCTGCAACACCTCTGCTGAGGAGGCCTCCTCTCAGAGCTGTGTGGCTCTTGGGCTTCCATGTATCAATATGCCCTTCCACTGGACACTGTCCCTCCTCTTTGTTTCCTGGCCTCCTGTGTCTCAGTGTCCCTTCTATTGGGACACTGTCCCACCTCAGAGCTGTGTGGTTTCCAGGTTCCCGAGTCCCACGACACTTTCCTATCAGAGTAGGAAGGCCAACAACTAGTGCATATAAGTCAAGTGAGAAAAACAAGGTCTTGATACATTAACACACACACACACACATACACACACACACACACACACACATATAAATATATATAGAGAGAGCCATGTTAAGAAACAATCCAAGCTGTATATGTGTATGTTTGTGTAATGACCTGTATAGGCTCATATAAAAGAATCAAGAAAAGCTATTAATCCTTCACAGACAGGACTCTTACATGGAGGGTGAAACCAACTTCAATTCTATAAAACACATCAATGTGTTTGTGTATTATGTATGTAAGTAAGACTATTTGAGTGAAGAAGAGCAAAAGAGTGAGGAATGAACAGAGCTCCTAAAGGAAGCTCTAGGGTGAGATAAATGAGAGGGAATGCTATCACTTTTTTCTTCTCAATTTCAACTTCCTTTCTTTTCAATTTCAACTTTTGGGGCACAAAAGCTTCTGATCTCAGAGACAAGAAACCAGTGTCTCTCCAGGAAAGTAGGAATTCACTTGAGCAAATCACCAAAAACGATAGCAAAAGAAATGCTGTGAATATTGCCTAATGGACACTGAGGCCTAAATTTAATGAAGAAACAACATATCCTCCTGCCTGTAGATCCCAACTTACCTTGATGGACACTACACCCTCATAATCCCTCAACTCCCAGAGCAACTGAACAGAAAAAAAATAATCCCATCCATACCAGCCCTTTAGTAACAAAACATAGTGGCTGCCAATGTTTTGGGCTCTTACATCATTAAAAGGAAAGGGCAAGTCACAAAAGAAGCCCTATCAACTTATGTAAGACATGGCACAGCATAGAAAAGTTTCTCAGAGAACAGCTAACTCACCAATTACTAGGATTAACTGAAACCTCCCACAGTTGCAGAATACCCCAAACCATGACATCAGGAGGCTGGGAATGCAGCCAACTTCCTCTATTTATCAAGCTGGCTAAAACCCAGGCTAAAGCTAGTGTAACAAGAAAAAAAAAAAAAAAAAAAAAGGAAAGCAGTCCCTACAAATGGTTTGAGTTGGAAGGAATCTCTCCTTGCGTGTATTTAGGACCCTGTTCCAGAGCAGAAGAAAGCTTTCTGGGAGTCTTTCTCCAAAACTCAGAAGTCACACGCTGGGTAGCTGGTTCTTGGGCCATGCATATTGAGGGTGCTTGGTAACCCAGTGGGTAACGGGCACAGGTGACACTGTCCTCTGAAGCAATGTGACTATGGTCAAAGACCAAAAGAAAACTGTGCCATGCAGCTTTCTGAAAGGCCTGTACTTCCTAGACTGTAATGATTAACTAGTGACCCAGACTGATGACTGGAGGTTTGTTCACCATTCCTGACAAAGACACTAACAGCGTGGGAGAAAGGACCAGAGGGTCCTGGCAATCAGGAATGAGGCCAGAAGTAAGCGAAGAGAACTTTTACCATACAGGTAAGGGAAATAAATAACTTAAGTGGTGATGATGGGGAAGTTGGGGCCGAGTGGACATGTCCAGGACCAGACCCTGCTTTCAGTTGGTCAATACTGTCACGGAGGAACAAACACACACAATGGGTTCTCGATTAGAACCTTGTCATTGTCCTGTTTATATTCCAACTCTTCTATACAAGACCCTGCCTCCACAGATTGGCTTGTTTGGTTCTGGGGATACAACCTATTCAAAAAGGATTAAATGTGAGTTGGCTTTTGAAATTTCGAAATATAATCCATTCAATAAATATACAGCAAATGCCTACATGGATGCTTCAAGCAAGTTGTATCATATCCAAGGCCCCATGGCTAGTGGAACCAGTAGTACCTGGGTCCAGAATACTATGATTTCTGTAGGTGCCATATGAACTAGCTGCAGGCAGCAATCAGAACACTGATGAATGGTTCCCTAATCCAGAGTTAGGGAAATGGATCCAGGGAAATTACCTCTGAAAGGTAATGATCTGAGTACCTTCCAAAGAATGTACAGCTCTCTTCATGTGAGAACGCAGAAGAGAACATTCCAAAGAAAGGAAATAGCTCAAGCTGAAACACAAAGCCAAAGCACGTAGAAAGGAAAGGAGGATGTAATATTTAGATGGTAGAAGATACTGGGGAACCTGATGGAATTATCTTCTTAGCCATCTTTAATATGACCTCTTAGCCAGTGGGGAAAGCGTCTGATCTGAGATGGAATGGCCCAGACTGGAAGTGGCTAGTAGATCTCTTGAAACTGCTGCCACCATGGCATTTTTCTGCATCACTGATAGAATTCTTTTCTCCCCTGCTTCCTCTTTTCCCCCTTCCATCTTTCTTTTTCCTATATTTTCTCTCTTTTAGTTCTCTTTCCTTCCCTAGCTTTTAACTGGCCAAGTGTATTTTAATGAGTGGAATATGGCTGGCTACCTCTGCGATAGCTAAAGAAGAGGCATAAAAACCACATGATGAAAGCTGAGGGTGCAACTCAGTGATAGAGCTCTTATTTGGCATGCAGAGTCCCTGGTATCATGGTCATCACTAGAAAAAGAACAGGAGAGGAAAGTACAAAAGGAAATGGGAAGGAAGGGGAGGCGAGAGGATAAAGAAGGGGAGGAGAGGAGAGGCTGGGTATGTAGTTCAGTTAGTAAAGAACTTGTCCAGTACTCAAGAAGCCCTGGGTTGAATCATATAAAGGAAAGAGGAGTTAGTATGACCTAGAGGGGACAGGAGCCCAACAAGGTCTAAATATATCTCTGCCCAGGGGTCTTCTCTGAGACTGTTTTTCCAACCAAGGACCATGCATGGATATAACCTAGAACCCCTGCTCAGACATAGCCCATGGTAGCTCAGTATCCAAGTGGGTTCCCTAGTAAGGGGGACAGGAATCGTTTCTGACATGAACTCAATGACTGGCTCTTTGACTTCCTCCCCTCCCCCTGAGGGAGGAACAGCTTTACTAGGCCACAGATAAGGACATTGCAGCCAGTCCTGAAGATATCTGATAAGCTAGGGCCAGATAGAAGGAGGGGAGGATCTCCCCTCTCAGAGGGGGCAGGGAGGAGATGAGGGAAGGAGGGGAGGATTAGGAGGGAAAGAGGGAGAGGGCTACAGCCAGGATACAAGTGAATGTATAAAAATTATTTAAAGATAAAAAAAATATTAAAAAAAGAAGCCCTGGCTTTTCTCCCCAGCACCACAGCATAAAAGAGAGCCTGATGGTGCATACTTGTAATCTTACTCTTCAAGAGGTGAAACCAAGAATTAAAGGCCATCTTCAGCTATATTAACTAGTTTGAGGTCAGCCTGTTCTACACAAGACCCTGCCTCAAGGGAGGGGGAGAAGGAGAGAAAAAGAAAGTAAAAGTTACTAGGTAAGGTGCTTACCTCCAAATGACTCCCTGACCTCTAGTCCTAATGTCCTGGATGAGGCAATTATTGCCTTCCACAACATGGTAGCACTGAATAATGATAAAATCAATATGATTTCAAAACAGGTCATGATTCTCTTTAGTGCATAAACAATTGTCACCTTATAGGTAAACGCATCTGCAATGTTTCACCATTTTGCCATTTTACAAAAACATAACCTTACAATTTCACACACAGGAGACTTACACTGATTTCTAAAATACAAGTCTCACATTCAGCTGCACCCATTCAAAATTAGCTTCAAACTTTCTTTAATTTACATGAAAGCATCTCACCAGGAAAACTGAATATAAATAAGTACCTATGATCATCCCTGATTGTTATTACTGGCACCTTCTAATTAACTGCAAACTTCTTTTTCCACTCTGAAATGATGAGCACATCCTTACATTTTTAAGCTGTATTTTGATGCTTTGTTTTTAGTAATGAGAGAAAACATGACTGAACAATGCACAGATGAGGAAGGAAGACACAACTGGACACATAGAATGGACCCATCAAATAACTAAGAAAAACCACACATATAAATGCTTCCTTCATTTAAGCATATCTTTTTCTGTTTTGACACAAGTTAGAAATGAAGACTAGTTTGTTGAAATTTTTATTTCCAAATATATTTGCCATGTGATATGCACTAAGCTCTTGACTGTGCTTCATTCAATCCTAGGGGTTAGAAGATGAGGAAACAATTACTCAGAAAGTTTTATTGTTCCCACTGGGAATGAGTAAGAAGTTATGTTATCATCTGGCCCTAATTTGGCAGATAAAACTGGAGAAGGTAGAACATTGGCAACACTGCCCTTTTAAAAGAATTTAACGTGAGAAACTTCAAAGTCAACTTCAGGATTGCCATGCATTTGCTGAATTTGCTAGCAAAAGAAATGGGTAGCTATCCCTACTTTGATAGACAGCAAAACATCAGTACCTCACATCCCAGTATGCCTGTCCATTTACAATGTGACTCCTGTCAAAAAGGTGGAGTCTATCTGTCCATTCCTTTAGCATGTGTTGACCTTGTCCTTGCTTTGTCCCATGGGTCCATTCAAGTGGGATGCAAACAGAAGCATGGAAACAAGCCTAAGCTAGCCTGCCAGATGATGAAAGCCACATGCTGGGTCACTCCAGTGCTCCAACAGCCAGTTAACCCCCAGGAATAGTCATGGAGCTAACTTTCAGTTGACTGCAGATGCATGAGTGGTCCCAACTGTGACCAACAGGACTGCCCTGCTGACCTCAGCCAAGAGTGTGTGCTCCAAAGCTAAACTGATAATGGCTGTTGCTGGAAGCTGTCAAGCATGAACTTATTATGGTGTGAATATGAAACACACACTCACTGAAAAGTTTTCTACTTGATTCACAGCTGGTGGCTTTATTTTGGGAAGTTGTGGAACTTCTAGCGGATTACCTGGAGTAAATGAGCTATGGAAAAAGGAGGACAAGACTCTGAGTGTTATATCCCAAGCCTACTTCTGATCCAGTCTCTTTACTTCCTGCTCTGCCTAGATGTGAGAAGCTGAGACATTTCTGCTGCACATACCTGTTGTGGATGTTTTGGTTTATGTTAGGTAAACATATTTTTTGTTAGAATCCCAAATGTGGGATTTTGGCTTGTTCACAGCTGATTAGTGCTTAGGGCAGGGGTGTGGTCTTTGCAAGCTGGAATTAATTGAATTCTGAGGACTTTGAGAAGTATAAATGTGATAGCCCAGAGAAAGAACGTGTAGTGGCTTGGAGGGGGCAGAGGAGGACTGCTTGCTTCACTTGCTGGCATGCTGGCTTGCTGGTTACCTGGACTTCTGATATCCTGACAATGGACATTGGTATTGCCCGAAAGAATCCTACCACCCTACCCAGCAGGAAGAAGTAACCTGGGGTTGGAAGGTTGGAAGGGAGGTATAAAGTTTTAAGGAACCCCCAAACAAAGTAGTGTTTGAAAAGCTAGCACCTACAAGTGATACCCAGACATAGGGCTTAGAATAATGGAAAATGTGGTTTCTAGTAACAGCGAGGAGACAGCAGGGTATGAAAAAAAAAAAGAATATACTGTTTCAGGATATCAACAAAAGGTTTACTGTGGCTGCCAACACCGGTTTCTCTCCCACTTTACTCCCAGAGGGGACTGTCTGGTTCTGCTTCTTCCTTCATCTTCCTGCATTACATTATAAAGAAGGATGAGAGAGTGGTTGAACAACTGGAAAAGTTTTGAGTGGCTCTACAGGGGTTTGAGAAACAAAAAAAAATGGATGAAATAAAGATATGAGAAGTTTCAGTCGTTTTAGAAAGGATTGCAGAGCGGGCGGTGCAACCAGACAGTTTTCGAAGAGAGGCTGGAATGCTTGGACAGCAAAAAGCGCCACTGGGAAAAGGAGAACACCTGGTCACTAAGAGTCAGGGTTTACCACAATCGCCACTCAGCCCTGCTTGGAGCACTTACAAGTGTCAAGTCCCCACAGCCCCCGCGTGAGGCAAGGGGCCAGCAGGAGCAGAAAGCCGTACAGGGCAAAAGGGTTAAAGAGAAACAGCTTGTTTCAAGAAAAAAAAAAAAAAAAAAAAAGGTTAATCTTGAGCAAACAGAGCTGCCAGAGCAGCAGCCTCGGGTTAAGAGATTTACCGCCATTAATTAGCTTTCCCAGTAGCCAGCAAAAGCCTTAGCTGTCAAAAAATGATCGGTGCTTCAATTTTGGTAAATTTGGTCACTTGAAAAGAAATTGTGACCAAGCTGCTAAAAGCCTCAGTGCTCAAAATGGCCAGTGCATTAGCTCTGGGAAATACGATGCCTTCTGCCAGAGAAGCACATGAGCCATTTTTGGTAGCACTGGGTTCTCAGTAAGAACAGCCATTTGTAGACGGTGTGATGAAAAGGGTCACTTGACTAGTGAATACATGTCCAAGAGAGACATATGAGGTAATTTCTTGACTTTAGGAAAGTTTTGGAGTCCTAGCTTGAGGCTCAATAGCAAAAAGTACGAGCCTTTCCAGATAAGAACAGCCAAAAGTTAACAACTATTGATCATTTTTTTTTTTAAAGCAACAGCAAGTCTCATTCATATTTTAAAGGAGAAAGGGGAAAATGTTGTGGATGTAAACATGTTTCTGTTTTGATCCCAGGTGTAGGATATGGGACTGATTCAGGTGGTCCACAGCAACAAATAATTTGCTTCCTGCAGGCTCTGAGAGGGGCTCTCTGCCATCTGCACACAGTTTAATTCTGAGGGCTCTTAGAGAGGGAATAAATGCCAGAGCCTGGAGAGTGTTGGGGATGGGGGGGGCGGTTTCAGAGAAGGAAGAAGGCTGCTGATACTCCCCATCTGCTGATCCTGGTTGCTGTTGATGCAGTATGATGAGAAGTTGGGAGATATCCTGAAATGAGGATTGGACATACCCTAAGGAACCCAATGACCCTAACCAGTAGGAAGTAGCCTAAGAGAACTAAGCTCCCTCTCCCCACAGAATCTTTCTCTCCTACCCAATATTGGGGCATTGGAAGGGGTTGGAGTGGAGAAGGAAGGAAGAGGCATAAGAAACCAAAATCAACCAGTCTAAAAAGTAGTGCTTACACATACTCACTACCACAGAGCCACCTATTGCCATTCTTTCCCCACCATGACATGCTGTGTCACCTCAAACTGTGAGCCCAAATTAGTTCTTCCTCCCTTGAGTTGCTTCTTGCTATTTGGCAACAAGAATGAGAAATGTAACCAGTACAGGAAGGCTTTGTTGTATATAAAATCCTAACTTATACCTCTTCTTTATTTTCCTTCTACTTCATTCTTTCCTTTCCTCTCCACTCACCCTTTATCTCACCACCTTCCTTTTCTTTTTCTTACCTTCTTTTTTTGCTTTCTTTAAGCACTACAGGAAAAAGGGGCCATTGCATTTAAGATAGTGGCCTTAGTTACCTCTAGTTCAAAGCTACTCTCATTTACTTTGAAAACATTTCCTCAGTGCTCATTTGTCTATGGTTAACACATGTCCCTCCAGCAATGATGTCTTGGAAGCTTAGTACCCCATTTAATAATGATAAAAGATGATGGGACCTTTAAACTTTGGAGCCTAGTAGGGAGCCTTAAGTCCTCAGAGGGGATTCAAAGTAGTTCTTGATGGACCCATGAGTTAGTTCTGATGAGGAAGTCATTATAAAAGAATAATCCCAGTTTCTTTGTCTGTAATGTCTCCACCTCACACATCTCCTTGTGACTGTGATTCTGTCTGTTATAAGAGGTTGCAGCCAAGGGTCAAGTACAAAGCCTCAGGTATTGATAATAGCAATAGGAAAACAGATACTAATCTCTGGGATGCTGCAGACATTGCGTGGTATAAGGGTCGTCAGCGTGGAGTGAAGTGAGATGTCTTTGGGGCCAGCTGGCTATAGTGTGGAAGCTGGCAGGCAGCAGGTCACCTCGGGGCACTGTCTGGTGATAACCTCCCTAGAAGAATTGTGGTCACTGCAAACTGTTGAAGGCCTTTCTTCTACCCATTACTCCTAGTCATGGGAGGAGAAATATAAGAAAGTGCAGGTGCAAGTCAGACAGCCAAGGGTTAAGGAACTAAGACTGCCCCTTTCCTCATGTGGCAGCCCAGGCAAAGAGAGCAGAAAATATATTTATAACTATAGGAAACACACAGTGAGTGGTAAAATGCTTAGATTTCTATTTGTTTACTAAAGCAATAAAAGAAAATCAATAGGATCATCTTGCTAATGGCATCAAACCACTCAGTACAACTCAGAAACCAAAAAAAAAAAAAAAAAAAAGGTCATTTCTTCAAATGCTTTTCTTCCCTTTACCATATTTGCAGTCTGTGGTTTATTTCCACTCCAACTTGGTTCGTCCCTCCACCCGTGAATGATGTTTTCTCATAATTTTTGAAAGCTTGCTTTCCCCTGGTGTCTTGGAATTTATTCTTTGTTTGTGGTTATGACATTAATGTTTAGAAAGGTCAAGTGAGATGCCCAGGCCTGGATAAATATTTATTTTTTTCTTTTGATGATACTATGAACGGGATCTTTTTCTCCCTCAGAATTCCCTGAGAGAGTTATCATCTGCTCTAGGACAGTGGTTCTCAGCCTTCCTAAGGCTTCAACCCTTTAATACGGTTCCTCGTGTTGTGGTGACCCCCGACCATAAAATTGTTTTTGCTGCTACTTCATGACTGTAAATTTTGCTAATTTTATGAATAGTAATGTAAGTATCTGATATGCAGTGTATCTGATAGTGACCCTAGGAAAGGGTCCTTCAATGCCAAAATGGTTTGTGACCCACAGGTTGAGAACCACTTCTCTAGTTGCATTTATTTCTATAATAATCTACAAAATATTAGGTGGATAGGTATTTTCATGGCTCCTATCAGGTAATAAAAATAGGAGGTAAACTCTCAGGAATGCATCTCCAGGACTGGACATCACCATACCATGTTCTGGATGATCAGAGGAACGATCTATTGTTTCAAACATCTTCTAATACCATCTCTCCTATGTCTATCATCCGATACTATCTACTGAACTTTTCTTTTAAAGGGGAATGATTTTCCTTCATGAGTTTTGTTTATATTTTGGTTTTCAGAGGCATGCTCTTGTATATATCCAAGATTGACCTGGAACTCACTGTGTAGTCCATGCTGGCCTCAATTCCACAATCTTCCTGTCTCAGCCCCCCCAAACACTATGATAACAGACGTGCACCACAGTTTTTGACTCATTTGTTTGTAATAGTGATAATCTCTTCCAGTTTTACAATGATTTAGAGCATAGAAAACAGTTATGTGTGCAATACCTTGTTGAAACCACGTTTGTTTTTTATTTTAATTTTAATCCTTATATTAATTACAGTTTATTCACTTTGTGTCCCAGCTGTAGCCCCTCCTTCATTCCCTCACAATCCTACCCTCCCTCCCTTAGCTCCTCCCATGCCCCTCCCCCAGTTCCAATGATAGAGGAGGTCTTCCTTCCCTTCCATCTGAACCTAGCCTATCAGGTCTCATCAGGACTGGCTGCATTGTCTTCCTCTGGGGCCTGCTCCCCCCTCAGGGTGAGGTGAGCAAAGAACCGGCCACTGAGTTCATGTCAGAGACAGTCCTTGTTCCCCTTATTAGGGAACACACTTGGACACTGGAGCTGCCATGGGCTACATCTGTGCAGCGGTTTTAGGTTATCTCCATGCATGGTCCTTGGTTGAAGTATCAGTCTCAGAAAAGACCCCCTGTGTCCAGATTGTTTGGTTCTTTTGCTATTCTTGTGGAGCTCCTGTCCCCTCCAGGTCTTTCTATCCCCCCCTTCTTTCAGAAGATTCCCTGCACTCTGCCCAAAGTTTGGCTATGAGTCTCAGCATCTGCTTTGATACCCTGCTGGGTAGAGTCTTTCAGAGGCCCACTGTGGTAGGCTCCTGTTTACAGAGTAGCTGGGAGACAAAGTCATAGCTCTGTGCTAGAGACTGGGGATCCACTGGAGAAGAAGGTAAGACAGGGGCCCTAGTAAGGAACCAAAAACAAACAAACAAACAAACAAAAAATAAAAGAAAAAAACTAATACCAAGAAACGCAACTAAGATAATGATTATAATGAAAAACATCTAGAACTCTTGATAAGGACAATAGTTTATGATCTAAGAAGCCATGGAAAGCTTGAAAGGTAAGCGAATAGAATTAACCCCACACAGAGGCAGAGGAGAAAACGTGTCCAGCAGCAGCAGTATGTAGAAGGCACTATGGTGGAAGGGAGTACCACTCATATTAGGAAGAAAATAGAGGCCGGATTGGGCAAGACACTGGCAGGCAGAGGGAGAAGAAACTGTAAAAGATGACAATGAAGGGGCAGGAAAATCCCAGCTCCCATGTAGGGTGGGACTTGGTGGCTAAGATAAAGAGGGATGCTTTGTTTTCTGCAGAGTGATGGAGTCGCTGAATGATTTTTGCACAGCGGGTAATCTATTCAGATCCTCACTTCCACAGGATCATTTTACCTATTGCATGGTAAGGACTGGCAGAGAATAGAGCAGAAGTGGAAGTACAGTGTGGGATTTCTGTGCTCCATTCTCAAACATTGTTCTCCAGGTAGAAACAATTCAATAAAGCAAAATTCCCAAATCGGGAGTATTATCAAGAAAATGGAGACTCACATTTGGCTACATATGGTGTAGATATCTAAAATATCAAGGGAACTTCAGTTCAGAAAAGTGTGAAGATTTAAAGTAAGTATATATTTAAGTATTCCTTCTGCAGCAGGGGCCATACACCTTTCCTTTAAAGGGCCAGGGAATAAATATTTCCAGTTTTGTGAGCTGTGGGATTTTTGGCGCAACCTGCCATTGTAGCACACAACCACCACAGCCTGTAAATGAATGGATGTGGCTCTGCTCCACTAAGACATCAGTTACAGAAATAGGTAGTTCTCAGGATTTGGACTTTGGGCAATAGCTTGCCCTGCTCTACACCAACGAGGATATAATTATGGTATTGATGGTAAGTGACCGTGACAGTGACAGCTTAGAAGGTGGTGATGGTGGTAACGAGTTATCAGGAAGGAGATGGATGGGACTTCAGTCTGGATTGGGTGCTGTGAGTGGTAATTTTAATTGCCAATTGGATTAAGGAACACCTTGGAGAATCCATGAGGCACAGGTTTCAGTGTGTCTGAAAGCTTTTCTGGGGAGAATTAATTGAGAGGGAAAGGCCCACTCTGGATGTAGGTGGCTTCATCCCCTTGAATGGGGTGTCAGACTAAATAAAACGCTGGGAAGGAGAAATCCAGCTGAGAACTAACATTCTTTTCTCAGCTTCCTGGTTTTCCAGAAATGAGCGACATCCCCACCACCACAGCTCTGAGCTGCTCCTGCCACCATAGCTTTCCCGCCGTGATGGACTCTAGCCTCTGAACCACAAGCCAAAGCAACCCTTTCCTCCTTTCAATTGCTTTGCATCAGGTATTTTGACCACAGTAATGATAAAAAGGACTAAGAGATGTTAAAAATGAGAAAGTGCTGCTCAATAAATTTCCATCCATGATCTCTGACCCTCGATCAGATTAATCATCTTCGCTTAAAAATCATTGACCCCTCAGTGTCCCAGCATCGCGCGGTTTCCAAGTTACTTGGTGTACATTGTATGGGAATCTGCCTCCAAATGTCCTTGGCCTTCATAATTGTATAGTTTCCCAACAGCTAACAGCACCTGCCAGGTCCCCCCTCCCCTTTATACCAATCTATAAAGAAACAAGTCAAAAATAAAGCAAACATCAACCCCAAATTAGCACAGTCAGCAGTCAATGCTGAGTTTGGTTGGGGCACAAAAGGTGGTGGGAATCAGGAGAAAGCAGTACCATTTTCTTCAGCTCACTCATCAAGGAAAACCTCCCAGCTGGGGCCTGGTCATGTCTTTGCTTGACTTTCCTTCCTCTCTCTTCAAGGACATTCCCTTCTAAAGCCTCAACACTACCTGCTCCTTTTGCTTACAAGGCATGCAACTAATCTACTTCTGGCTACACCGGAAATGGAGTTATTTTTAATACTGGATGGTGTAAGGTTGGGTGGGGAAAGCCAGAACGGGAAGCCTCCAGCAGTGGAAACTCCTCTATCACCAGGGAACTTGGCTGTAGCGTCAAGCTCTGGCCTCACACCAAAATGGGGCCATCCATTTTCTTCTTTTTTTAGTACTATCCTCTTTGACCCACCCAGCACTGAGATTTGTCAGTGTGTTTTGCCAGGAGACCTGGCAAACAGCAACTTGTCAGGTTCAATGGCTCTCATTGACAGCCCAAATAGACTCCTGTGAAGATTGCAAAATGGGCCTCACAAACAGACCATAAAATTCCTACCACCCACAACCGTCTGGACTCCTCCTTTTCCTAAATGACCCCCAGCACCGATGCAGCATGGGTGGCTTCGCAGCTCTTTTTAAAATGATCTTTCCAAAGTAGAGGTGTTCCAACTGGTGGGGAACTTTTCTCCCCCATGCAGCAAATGACTGATTCCCCAGGTACTTTGAGAAAACGGGAGCCATCTGCATGAATTTGAGTCACTCATCACACAAATCCGTCTGCGCCATACCCCATAGTCTGCATGAACTGTGAGGTGAAATGGGCCTCTCATTTCTGAGTAGTCACTAGGCTACTCTGCAAGGCATCTGTGTGCCTCGGTTAACGTGTAAGCATCACAGCAGTAAGGCCACTCTCATAACAGTCCCTCTGACCTCATACCTGCTTACCAAGCCATGCTTTGGTACTCAGTATGTGGAATGACAGAAATATGTTATTGCTAAAAGTCGAATTCCAGTGATGAATCAGTAAGCTGAGATAATAACAAGCATAATTGTCACACATACAGGTTAGTCTCAGGAACAGATGAACCATTTTACAATAAAATAGAAGTATAGCATGAGTAGGAAATGAAATGTTTCCATTGTCTTCCAGGTTCTCTTTGGAAAGTATGGGCTTGAAAAGCTGGGCATCTAGCGCATGGTACAGCATTTGTTTGACATGGGCAAGCTACAGCACTGAGGGGCTTAAATAGAGTAATTGCAGGACTGGTGGTACACTTCAGTAATCCCAGCACTCAGAAGACTGAGGCAGGGGGAATGCTTTGAGTTCAAGGCCAGCATATACCCGTAGGGAGGAGCTTGGGAGATGTCCCAGCAGTTAAGAGCACTTGATTCACTTACAGAGAACCTGAACACAGTTACCATCACCCACATAGCTCATAGTTGCCAGTAACTCCAGTTCCAGAGGATCTGACACCCTCTTTTGATACTGGCAGGCAGTACTCTCTCTAATATGGCACACATACATATACATAAAAGAAGGGGGAGATAGAAAGACCTGGAGGGGACAGGAGCTCCACAAGGAGAGCAACAGAACCAAAAAATCTGGGCACAGGGGTCTTTTCTGAGACTGATACTCCAACCAAGGACCATGCATGGAGATAACCTAGAATCCCTGCACAGATGTAGCCCATGGCAGCAGCTCAGTGTCCAAGAGGGTTCCCCAATAATAGGAACAGGGACTGTCTCTGATATGAACTCATGGGCTGGCTCTTTGATCACCTCCCCCTGAGGGGGTTGCAGCCTTACCAGGCCACAGAGGAAGGCAATGAAGCCACTCCTGATGAGACCTCATAGACTAAGATCAGAAGGAAGGAGAGGAGGACCTCCCCTATCAGTGGACTTGAGGAGGGGCATAGTAGAAGAAGAGGGAGGAAGGGTGGGAATGGAGGGGAATGGGGGAAGGGGGTTCAGCTGGGATACAAAGTAAATAAAGTATAATTAATAAAATTAAAATTAAAAAATGTAAAATGTTTGAAAGCCCCTGAAAATAACACAAAACAAAGCCACAAATCAACATGGGAATATCATGTAACAGCTGGTGTGGTTCTCAGAAAGGAGTGTTCAATACTTTCTAGATCCTGTGAGTGCCACGAAGCATTAACCACAGGAAAGCTAGATCTCTGTGGTTGTACATGAAGTAAGGCAAAGCACTTAAAGGAGTATAAGTATCTAAATTTCAATTTTCACTCTGCTATTTGCTGCCCCTAAACCTCAGGCAAATAACTGGGTTTCTCATCTACAAAATGGGCCTTAGTTTCTTCATCTATAATGAGTATCTGTCTTCTGGCTATTCTATCAATACATTTAGAACATATACGTTAATTCCTGCCACAGAGGATTGCCCAATATAGCAATTACCGGTTTTGTACTTAAGAAGGCATGGACAATATTACTTCCTATGACAGTAGTTCTCCATGAATAACATGTAATATGTGCCTACAAATAAAGCCAAGTTATAATATCTCAGCATGCCTTTAATTATTCTGTAAATAATGAATAGCATATTGTTTTGTGGTGCTGAGGACTGAATCCAGGGCTTCATACATGCAAAGCATGTGCTCCACCAATCAGCTGTATCTCCCATCCAGTGATGCCCACTGATTGACAACATTTTAGGGCCTTTTTACATACAATATTACAGAAAACAGAAAGATGGAGAAATGCCATGGTATTTTTGTGCTGAGTCATAAAAATAATAACCGATAACTTGAGCCCATCACAAGTTATAAGAGAAATCTGCTGCCTTTTTTCCTCTGATTCTTTACCTATAAAATGGGGGCTCATCTCCATCTTTGTGTCCTCAAAGTTGGTCAGAGTAGGGAGTCAGTCCGTAAAGGGACAGTGCTCAGCCCAGTATTGGTGGATAGTCCACAGGTGTTGGTGTCATCATCATTGCCTGCTTAGGCAAACCAGACACCCTTCTGACCATTTCATACTTGCTTATGGCCTGTCGGTGAAATTGTGATATTCTAGAAATGACTGTCTGCCATGTTCATGGTCCCTTTGCCCCTTTTTTTCTCCTTGACCTGCCCACCTCGTACAGTCCTCTGCTGATTCCCTTCCCGATCCCCTATTTTTCCCACATAGACCTTATTGATTAAACAGCTAATCTCTGTGCTTGACCCTTAGTGTGAAGGCCCTAACTGAAAAGTCTTTTGTACTTTAAAGCAACTTAGATGGTTAAATTGGTAAGTCTATCCTCTTTATAAGAGGAACTGAGGGCCTGAAGAAGAGATTCTTTCTCTCATACTGCTAGGGACCTCAAGCCAGGTCATCACCATTCTGAACCTGGTAGCAGGAATCCAACATTGCATGGAGGGCTAGTGCTCTTTCCTTCTTGGGTTTGTTCCCAGTCAATAAATATTTGTTGGGTAAGTACTATGTGCCAGGCACTATATGAGGCACTAGGAACACACTGGTGAGCAAAAGGGCTGCAACTGTGCCATCTCTGGACAGCCTACGCCGGCAGGCATTCAAACAAATCCCAGTGTAAATGAAGAAAAGTCTGCAGGTCAGTCGTGAAATAAACACATAGAGGCTGAATTATGTTATTAGAGGAGGCCATGGTACAGATAGTATATTGCTAATTAGTACAAAGAAAGCTAGCAAACAAAAAGTGTGGCACATGTGATCATTCTTTATTGAAACACAGTTTGGCAGGAGTGAGATTAACATTTTGCCACTGTGCCAGAAAAACCTTAGCTCCAAGCTGGAGAATATTCCATTTCACTCAGTTGCTCTTCTTTTTTTGCCCTCACTCTAGACTAGGCTAGACTGAGACATTTATCTTTTCTCTCATTAAGTTTCTTCCTGCTCATTAAGTTCTTTTTTTCCCATTTATTACTATTTATTTACTTCTCAGAGAAGTCTCTCTCAAGTTTTGTTTTGGTTTGTTTTTTACATTAAGTTTTAGAAACAACTATGCAGGAAAAATTTCTTATCCTAAAAAGAATCTAAAATTACAATATGGGTTGAGCATCTCTTATTGGTATGCTTGGGACTAGACGTATTTCAATTTTTAAAGTTATTTTGAATTAAGGATATGTGCATAGATTTTTACCCATTGAGCATCCACAGGCCCCAAAATCTGGAATCTGAAATGCTTCAAAATCTGAAACACTTTGAACTTGTGTAGGCATTTAAAAAACAAACAATCAGTCAAACAAGCAAAAACATCAGACTTGGAAGCCATTTTGGGCCTTAGGTAGTAAGATGAGAGTGGTTCAGTGTACACTCAGAGAACATTAGGAAGTGGTGTTAGTTACTAAGCTGTTGCGTTACTTAACAATTAGACTACAAAATGCACTAGCCATAGAGTAAGGGCTGGGGGCTGAGGCCGAGGGTGACTACTGTCTTACTGTTTATTCAGCTCCAAAGTGGAAGAGGATCCTCAACGGCCTGTGGCTCACACAGCGTCATCAGTTTAGTCATCAGATCTGATTCCGTGGGACCCATGAACAGGTCAAAGGAAAGCCAAGTGATGGACTGAGATGATATTGGTAAAAAAAAAAAAAAAAAAAAAAAAGACAAGCCAACCTTGGCTTCATTTGTATTAATGCACTCAGTATCTACAATGAGCCTAGTTAGGCCATTCTTGTAGCTAAATGTGCACACTAGAGTCAAAATTAGCCAAGTTACCTAATGTGGCAAATGCAGAAAGATATCAGGGTGGTGTTAATCAAATCGGCTCTATCA